AAAAAATAAAAAAATTGACGGGTACGGGTACGGGTACGTGTATACCCGATACCCGACGGGGATGGGGATGGGGATGAAAATCCATACCCGACGGGTATGGGGACGGGGATGGGGATGAGTTTTACTTGCGGGGACGGGGACAGGTATCATAAAACCCGTACCCGCCCCGCCCCGTTGCCATCCCTAATTGTCACATCAAATGGTTTTTTCATCATCTATATCTTTAATTTCAATTATCTTTTAATACTTCTTATAATTTAATGATAATTGAATTAGAATATGAAAAATTAGTTGTTTTAATTTGTCTAAAAAAAACATGTTAATAATACAACAAACTTGAAAAAGTAAAATTACAATAAAAAAATTCAATGTCTTAATATCTTCTAATTTGTGATAAATATATGCATCCTTCATAAAATTATTATCTGTATTTGCTATTTCAACTATATTTTACATTTATTAAATATAATAATTTAGCATAATTTTAATTTTCTTAAAATATAATATATACATTTTTTAAACTCTTACAACGCGTAAACATCTAGTTATACATTAAGATATAAGTAAATAGTACAATTTCACAAGCTTGCAAGAGCGACTGAATTTCAGTATGATTTTATAGACTATAGACATATTCCTTTTTATATTGTTCCATAAATTATCAATGAATTTTAGTAACTCTATTAACATAAAAAAAAAAAAGAGTAAATAGTATAAAGATGCATATCTTCAAGAAGTTTGATGATTAGAAGAAGAGTGAAAATGATATAAAAAAAAAAAAAACTATCTTCAAAAGTGAAGTTCAACTCAAACGCTAATATGATATCACTCAAATAAAATTGTAACAAAAGTCGCAAACAAGATAAAAAGAAAAGAAACAAGAGAAAAGACTATTTTAAAATTCAAATTATGTGATTAAAATATTGAGTCAAAGAAAAGATTTAAAAATATGCTAAATATTTTTAAAAGAATAAATTAATTTTAATAAAAATCTTTTATTTATATTTTAAATATTTAAATTTAATTTTTTTTATTACTTTACCTTTTTTTAAAAAAAAAAATAGGATTTGTATCACAATTTCTTTTTCATAAATAAAATTAACATACTCTTCTAATAAAAGTATAAATACAAAATAAACCATCATAATCAAGATATTATCTTCATTTGGTTCCTCCAAGAGCTTAAATCCCTCCCCTAAATTAGAGATGTGAAGCCTTGATAGCTGATAGACGATCTGTAGAGCTCGAATCTGAGGTGTGAAGCTTGATTCTTGAGGGTTTTGGGGGAAAGTTTCTTCTTCCTCTGATTTTAGCTTCTATGAAGCTAATTGAGGTAAAAGAAGCTTGTTTTGTTGTTGATTGATATTTCAATGAGTTGTATGAATTGATCTTAAGCCAAATGGAAGGCTTATGTTGTGATTTTGGAAGACTTACTCATGTTGGGGTTTTGGGTCCTGTCTAAGGAGTAAATTTGATTCTTGTTGTATTTTGAGTTTCATGGACGATCAGAGGATAGAGATGATTTTGAAGTTGTAAATGAAGTTGTTGATATCTTTGCATTATATGTTGAGATGGTCACTTTAAATTCGTTTAGCGAATTGTTACCTCTGTAGGAAAGTGAGTTTTGGATTCGTTGAGCCAAATTTGGCTCGGGGAATTTTGGTCTTTGCCTGGAACTTCTTTTGAGGGTCGCTCAGCTAAAGATGTTCTCGTTTGGACGAAGAATTTATATAGGGTAATTCATTTATTTGAAGAATTTCAAATTCTTTGAGGTGAAATGCTTTGTTTGGATGAGAAATTTACAAAGAATTTGAAATCCAAGCATTTGTAAAATTTCTTAAAATAGTAGAATTTTAAATTCTCCAAAAAATGGAAAAATTTGAAATTCCTCATATTTGTTTTTCTTATTTCACCTATATATTTTATCTTATCTCTTCATTCTTTTAATTATTAGATATTTAAAAATATTTTTAAAATTATTAAATATTATCTTATATTAATTTTTAAAATTATTAAATATTATCTAATATTAAATTTTAAAATTATTAAATATTTAAAAATGGATTAATATTTATTTTTATAAAATTTAATTTAAAAATATCAACATATAAATATATTTTTAAAATCAATTTTACTATGATGGAATCAAATTATCATATTCAACCTAACAATTTAAAATTTAAGAAATTTGAATTGACTCATCCAAACAAAATATTTTAAGAATGATAGAAATTGAAATCAAAGTAATTCAAATGCCAAGAATTTAAAATTCCTTAAATTTGTAAAATTCTTCTTCCAAACAAAGCATAAGAGAATTTCCTTCCCTGTTGCTATAATTTTCTCAACGAGACAGCTTTGCTCAGCGAACTATGTTGGGTCAAAAACATTAAGTTAGAAGACATTAGTAATGTGAAATGATAGCTAGGAGTTAGCATTTGACCAACTGCCGCAAATTGATATCAAGTTGGCAAAAAAAACTGACTCTAATTTTCAAGAATCAATTAACAATAGATGAAAATTCATCTAATAGCCCCAAAACTCATAATGTTTTCTCAAACAATGACAACAGCTATGATATATGGTTGTTCATCATGAAAGGAACACATTACAATTTGACCCAATTTTCTTCTTTAAAACTATCTACCCAAATAAATCTTCTCATTAAGGCAATTCACCCAATAGTAGTAACAACAAAAAGCATGCATACAAGTGCCATTACTCATCAAATGAAGTTGGGACATTCACATGCCTCTCCATTCTCCATAGAAACTTAGCATTCTACTCCACATTGTTTGAGCACTGGACCAGTTTGCTTGGGCAAGAAGGGATCAATCCTGACCCAAATCAAAGAGAAAATGGATGCTAGAAGGATTGACCAAAGGATTACAATGGTAGGAGTCCTGTTTTGCTTTCCCATGAGACCTTTGAGGAAAGGGTATAAGTGAACAATGACCCAGAAGGCAAAAAACAACTTCCCAAACAAAGGTCCCCATGAGCCATATCCATTGTTGATGGCACCAGAGACTCCAGCCACAACTCCAACGATGTTCAAGATTATGAGAGTGGTTGGTGGAATGAGAAGAGTGGTCCACTTGAAGAGATACAACTCTCCAAATTCAGTGTCTTCTGCTGCTTTTGCTGTGACAGTGAAGTTGGTATCTACTCCACCAAGAACTTTGAGGAGCCCTTGAAACACAGCAAAAAGGTGAGCAGAAACGCCTCCAATCACCCAAAACTGCTCGTTGCGCCACAAGTCTTCTATGGTCACTCCACTCCATCGGAGCTCAAGCACACTAGTTAAAATGATGGAGATAAATAGAGCCATAAACCAAACGCTAGCAAGGTTGGTAAGCTGCACACAACAAAACTCATTCAGAATATGTGTATCTAACTACATTAGTAATCTCAAGAAATTTACAGTTGTCTGGCACTTACTGTGGGGATGATGAATTTTCCAGTTAAGAGACACACGGCAGGAATTGTGCAGTATGCAAGCAGAGGGATGGAAGTGAATGGATAAACAATGGTGTTAGTGTAAGCCAATCTTTCTAGGTACTTCAGTTTTCCTCCATAGCCATACCACAAGGGGCAGTGTCGACTAAGGAAAATCTCAACAGAACCAAGAGCCCACCTTAGAACTTGGTGCAACCTATCTGATAGATTTATAGGAGCAGATCCTTTGAATGCTGCTCTCTTTGGCATGCAATACACTGATTTCCATCCTCTGCAGTGCATCTTAAATCCAGTCAAAATATCTTCTGTCACTGACCCATAAATCCATCCAATCTGTATTTGTAATCAAAACAAATTTGTCAAAAGGGATTGA